TCTGTCCCTCAGCGTGGTCTGGGCGGGGACCCGTGTCCATGTTGTGTGTCATGTCTGTCCCTCAGCGTGGTCTGGGCGGGGACCCGTGTCCATGTTGTGTGTCATGTCTGTCCCTCAGCGTGGTCTGGGCGGGGACCCGTGTCCATGTTGTGTGTCATGTCTGTCCCTCAGCGTGGTCTGGGCGGGGACCCGTGTCCATGTTGTGTGTCATGTCTGTCCCTCAGCGTGGTCTGGGCGGGGACCCGTGTCCATGTTGTGTGTCATGTCTGTCCCTCAGCGTGGTCTGGGCGGGGACCCGTGTCCATGTTGTGTGTCATGTCTGTCCCTCAGCGTGGTCTGGGCGGGGACCCGTGTCCATGTTGTGTGTCATGTCTGTCCCTCAGCGTGGTCTGGGCGGGGACCCGTGTCCATGTTGTGTGTCATGTCTGTCCCTCAGCGTGGTCTGGGCGGGGACCCGTGTCCATGTTGTGTGTCATGTCTGTCCCTCAGCGTGGTCTGGGCGGGGACCCGTGTCCATGTTGTGTGTCATGTCTGTCCCTCAGCGTGGTCTGGGCGGGGACCCGTGTCCATGTTGTGTGTCATGTCTGTCCCTCAGCGTGGTCTGGGCGGGGACCCGTGTCCATGTTGTGTGTCATGTCTGTCCCTCAGCGTGGTCTGGGCGGGGACCCGTGTCCATGTTGTGTGTCATGTCTGTCCCTCAGCGTGGTCTGGGCGGGGACCCGTGTCCATGTTGTGTGTCATGTCTGTCCCTCAGCGTGGTCTGGGCGGGGACCCGTGTCCATGTTGTGTGTCATGTCTGTCCCTCAGCGTGGTCTGGGCGGGGACCCGTGTCCATGTTGTGTGTCATGTCTGTCCCTCAGCGTGGTCTGGGCGGGGACCCGTGTCCATGTTGTGTGTCATGTCTGTCCCTCAGCGTGGTCTGGGCGGGGACCCGTGTCCATGTTGTGTGTCATGTCTGTCCCTCAGCGTGGTCTGGGCGGGGACCCGTGTCCATGTTGTGTGTCATGTCTGTCCCTCAGCGTGGTCTGGGCGGGGACCCGTGTCCATGTTGTGTGTCATGTCTGTCCCTCAGCGTGGTCTGGGCGGGGACCCGTGTCCATGTTGTGTGTCATGTCTGTCCCTCAGCGTGGTCTGGGCGGGGACCCGTGTCCATGTTGTGTGTCATGTCTGTCCCTCAGCGTGGTCTGGGCGGGGACCCGTGTCCATGTTGTGTGTCATGTCTGTCCCTCTCTCATTTGTCTGGCAGGAGTTTCTGAAGCTGGAGCCAATGGATGAGCTGAAGTCGTCCTTACGTCATCGCGCCCTCCTGGCCTGCACTTACCTGGTGTACCCTGCTGACCACACGGGGGGCTGGGGGAGGGACGTGGCACGCTGGGGGAGGGACGTGGCACGCTGGGGGAGGGACGTGGCACGCTGGGGGAGGGACATTCAGTGAGATTCCTTAACAATGATCAGGAAGTTGGAACCTCCTCTGAGTGACAACGGCAAGACGGAGCTGATCAATACGGCCCTGGCCAGCATCTTCCCCCTCCCCCCCATCACCGCCGGGATGCCAGGGGAGGTGAGTGCCCAGCAACCTGTACCGGACCTCTGTGTTCTGGTTCCTCTCCTCTGTACCGGACCTCAGTGTTCTGGTTCCTCTCCTCTGTACCGGACCTCTGTGTTCTGGTTCCTCTCCTCTGTACCGGACCTCTGTGTTCTGATTCCTCTCCTCTGTGGTCCGGGCCCTCTGTGTTCTGGTTCCTCTCCTCTGTACCGGACCCCCTGTGTTCTGGTTCCTCTCCTCTGTACCGGACCTCTGTGTTCTGGTTCCTCTCCTCTGTACCGGACCTCAGTGTTCTGGTTCCTCTCCTCTGTACCGGACCTCTGTGTTCTGGTTCCTCTCCTCTGTACCGGACCTCTGTGTTCTGGTTCCTCTCCTCTGTACCGGACCTCTGTGTTCTGGTTCCTCTCCTCTGTACCGGACCTCTGTGTTCTGGTTCCTCTCCTCTGTACCGGACCTCTGTGTTCTGGTTCCTCTCCTCTGTACCGGACCTCTGTGTTCTGGTTCCTCTCCTCTGTACCGGACCTCTGTGTTCTGGTTCCTCTCCTCTGTACCGGACCTCTGTGTTCTGGTTCCTCTCCTCTGTACCGGACCTCTGTGTTCTGGTTCCTCTCCTCTGTACCGGACCTCTGTGTTCTGGTTCCTCTCCTCTGTACCGGACCTCTGTGTTCTGGTTCCTCTCCTCTGTACCGGACCTCTGTGTTCTGGTTCCTCTCCTCTGTACCGGACCCTCTGTGTTCTGGTTCCTCTCCTCTGTACCGGACCCTCTGTGTTCTGGTTCCTCTCCTCTGTACCGGACCTCTGTGTTCTGGTTCCTCTCCTATGTACCGGACCTCAGTGTTCTGGTTCCTCTCCTCTGTACCGGACCTCTGTGTTCTGGTTCCTCTCCTCTGTACCGGACCTCTGTGTTCTGCTTCCTCTCCTCTGTACCGGACCCTCTGTGTTCTGGTTCCTCTCCTCTGTACCGGACCCCCTGTGTTCTGGTTCCTCTCCTCTGTACCGGACCCTCAGTGTTCTGGTTCCTCTCCTCTGTACCGGACCTCTGTGTTCTGTCACCGGGTCCGTCATGTCGGTCCGTAGTTCTGATTGCAGTTTGTTCCTCCGGCAGACTCTCTATGGCGACACTCTGAGCGCTCTCATACAACTGCTGCAGAACCTCGTTCTCTGGACTCTGACCCCGCAGGGCCTGCAGGACATCTTCCAGGTCAGAGGTCAGACGTGGGGGGGGGAGGGGGGTTCCTGCGGATCTCCCCGTCATGCGTTGTGTTTGTTCTGCAGATACTGAACCCGTGGATCAAATCCAGCAAAGAGCACGAGCGCGAGCGAGCGCTGGACGTCGGCGCCGGTATCCTGGAGTTCT